CATTCTCATGGCAATTATTTATAACACATTGATATTAAAAATGACTTATGCGTCTTATAGGAGATTGTTTCTCTTTTTTTCTTGTTTGTTTTGTCTTTTATCACTTCTCTCTCTCTCTGATTTTTTTATTTTTATTTGCTCAAATCTTTTCGCTTTTAGCTGTGCCTTCCTCCCTAATCTCTCTCTCTCCCCCAAGCCCTGCACTCTAACGGAATTTGTCTTTGTCACGCTTTCTCTGTATCGTACGCGAGGGTCTCACAAGAGGCGGTGATGCGATGACCCAAATTCAAAGTGACAGCTTCGGCCAAGCGTCGCCCTCCCCGAGGTCACATGTCACAGCGCGGAGCACAGCGCGCCTGTGTTCTTGCATTCTCGCTGTTTTTGTGATACACAGAAAAAATATGTTTCGGCTCAATTTTTTTTTTTCTCCGTCTTTAGATTATTTTTATCCTTCGTACCTTTCTACGTCTTTTCCTTCTGTTTCTATCACTGCTCTCCCTCCTTCTTTTTCATAGATCTAATTATTATTTTTTTCCGTTCTAGTGCCATCTGCTGTCCCCATAATACACCAAGTAAGCCGGTCCACTCAGAGCATCACCTTATCCTGGCCCGAACCGGAACAACCGAACGGCAAGGTCCTTGACTATCAGCTGCGTTACCGTGAAAAGGTACCTGCAACAAGTGCCTCTCGGCCTCATTATCACACGACTGCCATGAACCTAATGCAGCACACAGACATCTGCTACCAGTAACATCTGCCTCTCTCCTACACAAGAGCTGTGTGTAGCCCTCGGGCCAACTAGGTATTCGCCAAAGGGCTGCACTCCACAAAGGGGCATCATATGGTATTTTAGCATTTACTCCTTCTATCCCGTTTTTCTTCTTGTATAAATAAACTTCACATAGACCGATGGTAAGATTGCATTGTTTTGCTTTAAATAATCACATTCAGGGGTATGTTAAGACAAAAGACACAAGCTGTAGTCTGCAATTGCTTGGATGGTATTTAAGCAATCCTTCTGTTATAATATAATCACAGATGACGTGGACTCAGATGCTAACATTTAGCTATGCTCAAGGTATTGCCAGGTTGGGCAGACGAAGGGTTATAAAAAGGCTGGAATAGCTTTCCTAGAGCACGTGCTGCCCCAGGCTCCCTTCTGTACTGTCTACATGTCTGAAGGTCTAGGCAGATTGTAATGTAGTCACTGCAGAAGGGGCTGATTCGTGCCATTGGAAAGCATGTGGCCAAATACCCAGGTATTCTGATGGAATGAGATGAGAGTGCCACAAGACTGGCGATCTGCAATCACTCTAATTCACAATGTAAATAGTTGCGGTCCAGTATACCCAAATGATTGCCAGCACTCAAGCACTGATGAAGAGGAGGTTGTGAGCCCCTGAAAGGCATTGGCGCTAGGGCCAGTGCCAGCTGTGCCCACTCCCTCCCCTGTTTGTCCCATCAATGAGCACTAAAAAGGAGAGCGTGGAAATGGGAATCCCTTCTTGACACACAGTCACTGCTCTCCGCTGGGAGAAGAGACCGATTGCTGAGCGAACAGAAGTTACATGATCAGTCAGCTCTCGGTCTTAGAGCTGCTTTGTGACAGCTCCAGTGTCCCACGTTGGCTCTGAGCATATTTTATTTGACCCTGCACTTCTCCTTTAAGATAAACTTTTACTTTCCCAAAGGTGTTCAGTGGGGCTGAGGTCACACCAAACTCATCAAACCACGTCTTTATGGTGGTGGCGTTATACACAGGGGCACAGCCATGCTGGAATGGAACCTTCCTTAAACTGTTCCTGCAAGGTTGGCGGCTGACAATGGTCCAAAATGTCTTTGTATGCTGTAGTGTGACCATTACCTGAGAGGTGTTCACATACTTTTGGCCATATAGTGTTTGTGATGGTTAGGTGTCTACAAAGCTTTGGACATAAAGCCTTTGTGATGGTTGGATTTCTAAATACTGTTAGCGTTATAGTTGGTGTAATGATCCGGTATCTACATATGTTTGACTATATAATGGTTGTGATGCCCAGATGTCTACAATACAATACCATTCACAATAGCCCCGTACAGCAGCCGAAGGCGGCCGAGCAGCTCAGCCGAGCCGAAGGCATATGCTTCGGCTCGACTGAGCCGAAGTGACAGCCGAAGCAGGGAGAACGGCCTGCCGGAGGCCAGCTGCTCGCCCGAAAAAATGACAGCTAGGCGGCTGATGACAGCAAAATCTCATGGCTGGCTCCGCCCAGTTGTAATGACAGATCAGCGTCCCTAAATGACCTTATTAAACAATGACAACTGGGAGGAGCCGGCTGTGACATCACGGCCAGCTCTGCCCAGTTGTTATTCATTGGCCAATTGGCAGGTGATCTTTTAACTTCTTTTCTATTCTGCCCGCTACCTCAGCTCAGCTAAATCAGCGGGAGTGAGTAGCCAAACAGCGTTCGGCTCACTTCACTTCGGCTGGGTTTTTCACTCGGCTGCCTTCGGCTGCTCTGTGAATAACCCCCTTAGTGGTTGTAATGGTCAGGTGTCTACATACCTTTGGACAAATAGTGGTTATGGGGGTCAGGGGTCTACATACTTTTGGACATATAGCGGTTATGAGGGATGAGGGTCAGGGGTCTACATACCTTTGGACATATAGTGGTTATGAGGGTCAGGGGTCTACATACCTTTGGACATATAGTGGTTATGAGGGTCAGGGGTCTACATACTTTTGGACATATAGTGGTTATGAGGGTCAGGGGTTACACATACTTTTGGACATATAGCGGTTATGAGGGTCAGGTGTCTACATACTTTTGGACATATAGCGGTTATGAGGGTCAGGGGTCTACATACCTTTGGACATATAGTGGTTATGAGGGTCAGGGGTCTACATACTTTTGGTCATAGAGTTAAAACAACGGTTTAAAAACTCATCAACCTAAAAAAAATTGACCAAAACTCTATTTTAGTTTCCCTTTACAATCTCCTGAATTCTGTTCTATAGTACAATGCTCTTTGTGATTGTTGGTTTCCTTTCTATCCAGGCAGACGAGGGGGAGTCTCTGTCTCTAATCAGTGAGACAAATACAGCTACAGTTGGGGGTCTCAACCCCGGAGCGATTTATGCCTTCCAGGTGAGAGCCCGGACGGAGAGCGGCTTCGGGGCCTACAGCGGCAACATGTACTTCCAGACTCTGCTGGGAGGTGAGTGTCCCTCCACCTCTAGGGTTATCCATACTCTGCTTAATAATGCATGGCTCCTCATTACAGACCTCCGCTATACAGCCCGAAAGCTCAGTGATACACAAAGGCAAGGGAAGCAATTAGCGGAAGAGGCTGAGTTCCACGACAAGGGACGTATACACAACTGTGGCATTTACCGGCTGCGGGATCACTACTCCTGTCAGCTCGTATCTCTTACGGCAACGCAAACGCAATAATGCAAGCCGTGTCCAAATAAGTCATAGATGTCAAGCAGAGAGCGCAAGTGTTCACCGAAACAGAGGCTGCAGCGTACTACATTATGCAATCCAATCTAAGCTTCTTTCCTCTCTATGTAAGTGTTTTTGACAGCTGCACATGGAAAATTTAATGTGGGTTCTCTGCTTTTCCTGAAGGTTCATGACATCCCTTCCTGGATCTTTTTTTATCATTAAAGAGGTCCTGTCAGTTTCCTAGAAAAATGCAAATGGCAGGTCCCTGCAACAGAAGAGGTACTCTCCTCTCTGGTGGCCTGTGTCTTATACCTAGCCTCGACCCCTGCACTGCAGACTCTTCAGCATTGGACTCTTCCAGTATCCTCAGATACCTGAGACCTCCACCACATGCGCGGTGGCCTGTGTCTTATACCTAGCCTCCATCCCAGCACTGCAGACTCTTCAGCTTTGGACTCTTCCAGTATCCTCAGATACCTGAGACCTCCACCACATGGTGGCCTGTGTCTTATACCTAGCCTCCACCCCAACACTGCAGACTCTTCAGCATTGGACTCTTCCAGTATCGTCAGCAGGGCTGTAGCTACCATGGGGCGAGTGAGGCACTTTCGGTGCCCCCTTGCCCCTGTTGCCATGGCGAGCATGTGTGCCGCCATTCTGGAGGCGGGGCACATGACGTCACAAACCACACATGTCTCTAGGGGGGCACAACTTTCTGTTTTTGCTTCGTGCGCAAAAGGAGCTAGCTACGGCTCTGATCGTCAGATACCTGAGACCTCCGCCACATGCTGTGGTACCTTCTTCTTGCATCACTACAGAACACAATATTCCTATTTTGTGCCTTATTGCCTTTTTTTTCCTTGTAGGCAGCGAACAGGCGGAAGTATCACAAGACAAGCTACCTCTTATTGTTGGATCCTGCCTGGGTGCTTTGGCCTTCATTGGAATCTCCATCATGCTCATCCTCATCCTTCTCTTCAAGGGGTCAGTACATGACATAAATGCTTTTTGTTCAATATTTCTCAAAGAGCTTTGCATCCCTCAATGTGTTTTATAAAGCCACAAGTTGTTCTATGTTGAGTGTATTGGTAGCTCTATTTTTCTTAGGACCTCTGTGGATTGTCCTTAGGGAAACATGAATACAGGATGAAGCCACTTATTCAAGTCCAGAATGAGATTTTATTTGTAATTGCCAAGGGAAAGCCAATGGGTTTTGAGGGTTGCAAAGGTTCCTTTTCTTCAGGATCAAAAGAAGTAAATCTGCACAGGAAGGTGGTATCAGAAGGACGGCTGCCAAACTAGAGCGAGACATTAAGGCCTCCTTTACATGGGTGGCAGAGGGGCAGTAAAAACAGGTGGTTGATCCGTATGGATCACTTTTAGAGGTCCCCATGAGTGCAATTGAGGCCTATGAGGCCTTATGCCTCCAACTCGATTATTATTGATTACTTATCCTTCTGATATCCTTATCTGGTCCAGATTGAAGGTCCTGAAGAAAGGGGATCTTTGCAACGCCCAAAACGGATTGGCTTTCTATTGGTGATTCCAAATGAAGTCTTATTCGGCACTATGGTGGCCACCTGTTCGGGATTCATCGGGACAGTCCGGGTTTTGAATGTTGTGTCCAGGTTTTATGGTAGCTGAAACCCGGACACAAGATGTCAGGCAAACAGGGGGCAGCCAAAATTAAGATTGGGGCGACTGGCCCTCCACTGAAATTAGGCTTGACTGTGATATTTACATATCAATTGGTGGCACTATTTACATATGAATAAGCCATGACTCATTTAAATATAGTGGTTAATTGATATGCAAATTCTGCACCTCCTTGCTGGTCAGTGTATATGCCTCTGTTACATTGCTGTCAGTGTATATACCTCTGTTACATTGGCGGTCAGTGTAAGGCTTCCTAACTAATTCTCTCCTTGCTCTCTCTCCTGGCTGTCTCCTGTATAGTCTCCAATTTTATTTAACATTTACATATTTTTAAACAAATCTGCGGCTTGAAGTATGAAAAAAAAGCTTTGCCCAATCTAATGACAGTTTGATTTGATTCCTTGTTAATTCAGAATGTTTAATGGTACTGAAAACTACAGGTAAAGCCATTCAATACTCTGCTAGGACAACAGCGCCACCTGCAGGCTATCCATTGATACTGCACCCATAAATCACGATGTTTGCCTTTTTAACATTGCATTCACATTTGTTTTACTTTATTTGTCACTTTGCTCCTTTTTTTTTACTTCTCTTGTCCTGTAACAGAATCCTTTGCTGTTTATTTTGTTGCAGTAAAAGAAGAGAAAATCCATATACTGACAGGCTGCAGCACTATATCAGTTCAAGAGGTGAGTCCTAATTTATATTGCTCTCGTTGGAAGTGTTCTACAGATTCCTGATAGGATCCGGTTTTGTACCTTTGTAAGTTCTACAAACCATCCGTGATAATGCATCCTGGCCACCTGCATCATAAATCCATTCACCCTTACTGGTTTTTAAAAAGCTTCTTTTTTTTTTGACTTGAGGTTTAGGAGTGAAGTATTACATTGATCCTTCAACATACGAGGACCCCGCGGAGGCTGTGCGAGAGTTTGCCCGAGAGATCGATGTAACCTTTGTGAAGATTGAAGAGGTGACGGGAGCAGGTATGAGGCATGGTCACGTGGCCTCTCAATATTATTGTACATGATTTTGGCATTCCTTAATGTGCATTTAAAGCCCAAACTTTTTTTTTCCTGTTCGATAGCTTTTAGAAGGTTTAATATCTCTTCCAGTAATATAAATAAATAAATGGTCCCTATCCCCCCCCCAAAAAAACAGCTTTCGCTGCAATACTCACCTTCTCTGTAACACAGATTCCCATTCCCACAGACTTAAGGGCATCATGGACCCACCTTCTGGGGGGGCCTGGGCTCACATGAGAACTACACACAGAAGACCTCAAGAAAAAGTATAAGGTGGGTCCAGGGGTGAAGGGGAGGGGGAAGGGGACTGGATTTGGAATTTTAAAGACAATAAACTTTAACCAATAAACTTTGACCATCTGAAGCTAGTAGTACTTGGTCACATTCAACTGGGCTTGTTCTGCAATGTCGAAGATGCTTTGTAGCTTCTCCAAGCCATTTTTTCAGTTCCTATGAGTCATGGGAAGATATCCCGGCACAGACGCATTCATCCAATTACCAGCGTGTCAAGGCAGATGCTGATTGTCCAAGAATAGGACTAACTTGGTATATGTAGTGCAGTGTAGGGAGGAATGCAAAGACGTAAACATTGGGTAGACAAAACTACCTCTCAACAATGGAATGGCCCACTCTAGGAGGGCAAATTCTACAGGTCAAGACTCAGATGTTTTCCTACACCTTAAGGAAAAGGATGTTCTTTGAGGACAGCGAGGCACACCTTTTGGACAGAGAGGACAACAGGTTCACAAGAGACATGAAAGAGGCCATCTACATCAGACTGGAACAACCATCTGTGAACAGGGGTGGAGGCCTTCAACACCGTCTGTCTCCCACATATAATGCCACTTTAGCATCTCTACACATGCAAGTTGTTAACAATTGTTACCTTTAGCCACGCATACTGAAGAAGTAACACCTGTGCAGACTTCCTGACACCAAGGATGGGATTATGCAACTAGAGCACGTTGGTTCCACAACTTTGCCACCTCCCATCCTGTTCTTGGACAATAACCCTCTACATGTTCCACGGTGATTGGATTGAGTCTTGTCTGTGTTGATATAAATTCTGGGGTATGTTCCCGATACTCATTAGAACTAAATGGCTTGGAGAAGCTACAAAGCGTCTTCAACATTACAAAACAAGTCCAATTGAGGGCCGGTGCACCCCTGTGGGTACCATTATTTTGTAATGGCACCCCAGTCGCGCTGTTTCCCGCCACAATTCCGCCTGTGGATCTAAACATGATCATGGCTAAAACAGCCGTGCGTCGTGTATACGCAAAAAAAAAATACCTGTACCTTTTTTCTGCGATTACCGCACGGATGTCACCACATTGAAATGAATGGGGCGGCGCGGCAATCGCTGTCTGCATTGTGCAGGACCACACAATCCCGGATCGCGCAATCCCGAATCCCTCAGGTCTGCAACGGACCTTAAAGGGGTTCTAAACCCTCAGTTTTTTTTACCTATATCTACTGCTATCAAGCAGTAGATATAGGCAAACCGTTTTTTAAAAAAACCTGCTTTAACAGCGGTTTAAACTTACCTTGTGTTCGCTGCGCGCTCCCGCCCGAGAATCCGAAACTGCTCGGGCGGCCGCAAAGCATCTCGGATTCTCGGCTGGGAGACGAGCAGAGATGCAAGGTCATCTCCGCGTCTATGGACGCGTGCATCTCCGCGTCTATGGACGCGTGCATCTCCGCGTCTATGGACGCGTGCACCCGCATGCAGACACTGTGGGATCGGAAGTGCCTGCAAGCAGAGAGGAGTCAGCGCTGGATCGGAGAGCCGCCGCAGCGCTGGAGGGACAGATGAAAACATCAGGAAAGGAGAAGAAGATCGGATTAAGAGACATCATTTAAGGTAAGTGCTGACATTAACATGAGGGGGAGGGAAAAAAATGTATCCTTTAATGTCATTTGAATGTGTATAACCACTACTTGCTATACAATGACCTGGATAAATTAGAACCTTCACAGGCACATTTAACTAACTGGAAGTTGAGTATAGTAGGTGTGTAGTAGTAGCCAAACTGGTGACTCTCGTCTGACTTTGGCAAATCCCAAATTTCCGATTTATCTGAACACATGAATGCAGATTTGGACAACCTGGGTGGAACGATACATTTAATGAATCCTAATTTCCTGGATTATTGAGTTTTCTGAATCTCCTTTACAGACGAATTGGAAATGTTTAATTTTCTATAAAGGAAAATTTGGTAGGTTTGCCCTCTGCTCTCATCTCCAGGCCCAGATTCCCCGCAAGGCCACCGAGGCCAGGACTCGGGGCGGCAGCCCCCCGACGGCCGGAACATACAGTTCCGGGCGCCGGGCGGTAAGTTGCCTTCTACATTTAGTCCTGCTTTGGGAAGGCCGGACTAAATGTAGTGTGGGGAATCCGCTCGCTCGTTAACAAGTGATTGCGGCGATGTAAAATCGCAATCGCAATCACTTGTAAAATGTGTGCTGCCGTCCGTCCTAGAACTCCTGTTTTGGAGGTGACAGGGTCAGTGACAGTGGATTGGTTTCTCCTGTGTGATAGCAATAAAGTTAAGTGAAAAAAAAATTATAAAAAAATACATAAAAATTTAAAAAATAATAAGAAATAAAATTTAAATGAAAGAAATTAAAAAAGTCATTAAAAAGTAAAAAATAAGAAAAATAACATTAAAAAAAGTAAGAAAATTATAAAAAAATAAATAAA